GGCAAACACCTAACTCTGGATCCAAAGCGAATGTAAACGGTGCATGTGAAGTTGGTCCTTGGCCCAAGATAATACAAATACCTAAAAGACACTGTGCAAACATGAATAATGAGCAGATAAGATGTAAGGATGTCATGCCATAGGTTTATGCTGACAAATAATATTATAAATATAAAATGTAAGAAAGACTATTTGTAAAGGTAAACATGACATGTCACATCATAGTATATAAAAGCAGTTCTTAGGAAAAATCACATATACATATATATACGTAAAAACGAAAAGACCCACCCATAGTCATGTCGCATAGTCGTAACTACCAAATCTATTATGCCCATAGTACTTGTCTGGGTGGTCCTCTTCGATACGGGAAATTACTACCCTAGTCATTAGACTAATTATAATTAATGCAATAAACTTAATTTCCCCTAGTTTGCATAAGAAAGGCTTTTGTTTGAAATTTGGGAAGAAATTCAAATGCTCCATTCAGAGCTGTTACACAACCAAATGTAAGGCTGGAAATTTTTCCTGAAAATCTCAAACCAAACCAAAAAAATCCCAATTCCATAGTAAAAATTTCTCAAACCAATAATACCAAATTTTTTGGGATTCATACCGAACCTTTCAGTACAGGAATCAGGATTACATATTCAATCATTCGGGAATCCCGAATCAAACAGAAAAAGTATATATATTTATTTTGGTTGCATGCATGTTGAATGTTGAATTTAAGTAGCTTGATAGTAGACTATATTAGAAATAGAAGTATGAAATTAATTAGTTTGGAACTTTGGAACTTTGGAACATCAATTTGACTTGTTATGAAATTTCAAATTAGTATGTGGTAAAAACCCTAAATTTCAATTGATATGAAATTGAGGAACACAATTTTAGGCCAAATGCCCAAATTTTAGCCCATAGCCCAAAAATCTCAAATTTTAACCCAAAAGCCCAAAACCGAAAATCCAATCTCGATCCATCCCAAAATACCAAAACCATTTTGGGAATCTCAAAAATTGGGAATACCAAAATTTTCATTTGGGATTGGTCTTCAAATTTCTGTCTCGAAAATGTTTGGTTTGGGATCCCATTCTGAACCACCCCTAACCAAATGATACCCATAATATTAGTAGGGTGCACTGCACAAGGCCCTCCATTTAGACATATCAGTCAACAGTTAAATCTTTTACAATTTTAAGTATAACTTGTCTGTTAAAACTCCGAATTGAGTTTCATCTGTGACCATATGCTCGTAAAAAAAAATGAGTATTGTTCGAAAATAATAAAATAACAGTGGAAAAGTGAAAGGAAAATTGAGGTCCACATGGAAGGCTCACGTGGCATCACAAGAATATTTTAGGAATTTCGCCACTACTGAGAATAAAATACAGTAAATCTCAAGACAGGATGTCATATTTTGGTCTTTATAATAGGGATTTTTCATGTGAAGGACCAAAATGATTGATGGTGGACAAACTCAAGGACCGCTTTTATTGATTTCAAAGCTCAAGTACCAAATGGAGGAGTTATGTCAATCTCAGGGACCCTTTTGGCTAAAATGCCTTATATCTTTGGACAACATTTTACTCTACAAAGGATTTACTTAACTTAATCAAGACAATTGATTTTTACTACTTATGAACACAAAATCATAAGGTAAAATTCTCTTATATTCTAGCATCAAATCCCAGCATGCATTCTAAGTAGGCCTCCTTAATAAACATACAAGAATAAGTTCTCAATAAACCGGATAAGTAAATCACATTCATGTTTACGAAGAAATAATTGGATGAAATCAACTTATATTAACATATGTTCATGGTTTCAAATTCATCTTTAACTAATAACGAAATTAGTTACACATATTCACCATATCTGAAAGGCAAATCATAATAAACAATGAAAAGAGAATAAATTAACAAATGTTTAATGAAAGAAACTATGATCTCCTTGACTTGACTTCATTTCTACATTCAACTTCACGTCTCGTCTTAGATGGATGAGTTAATGATAAAACATGATTGGAATTATGTGTGAAGTATGGAAGGCACGGCTGAAAGAGAATGTTGCCATTAAAAATGTGTAAAGACTGTAGGAATATGTATGTGTAGGTGTTTAGATTGTAGTAGGACTCTAAGGAATCAGTTAGATTATCTTAACTATCTTGTATGAATTGCAAAAACTATGAATCTTAATAAGGAAGATGAATATCAAGAACAATCTTGTATGAGAAGAAAGAACTCTATTGTATTTCATAGAGAGAGAATCTCTTTTTTATAACAAACTAATCGATATTTCAAAGATTACTTCATTCTAAAGTTATTGCTAACATGGATTTGCTTATGTGGCACATGATATAAGTATGTCTAATATCCCCCCTCAATCTTAACTGGGATATCCCATATTAAGATTGTGACAATGCTGAAAAAACTGAAGGCCATGTAATCCTTTTGTAAGGATGTCAACCATTTGATCTTGTGTAGGCACATATTGCACATCAAGGTCTCCGTTTTCCAATCTCTCTTGAGCAAAATGGAAGTTAGTTTCTAAATGCTTAATTTGGAATGATGAATAGGATTCATACTCAAAGCTATGGCAGACTGGTTATCACATAATAACAGTGGAAGATGAGGAAAAACAGCACACAAATCTTTCAACATAAGTCTGATCCAAGCTATGTTTGCAGCAGCATGTGCAAGAGTCTTATACTTAACTTCAAATGAACTTCGAGAAACGGAACTCTGTTTCTTGGATTGCTAGGAAATCGGATTATCACCAAGATAGACAACATAGCCTGTAATGGATCGACGAGTGTTAACATCTGTTGCCCAATCTGAATCACTATAGCCTTTAATATTAATCCCATTGCCAGCAGTAAATGTTAAACAACACTTTATTGTCCCATATAAGTATTGGAGAATACGTTTAACCAAACCAAAATGTATATCAGTGGGAGAGCATTCATGAACTGACATACATTATTAACTGCGAAGGCTATATCTGGGCTGGTGAAAATGAGATACTGTAAGGCACCAACAAGATTCATGTATTGTGTTGGTTCTGATAAAAGCTCACCCTCAGCAAGAAACACAGAAGTATTTGGTTTACAAAGTGTTGCACAAGGTTTACATGTATCCATGCCTGCTTTGTGGAGTAAATCCTTAATATATTCTCGTGATGCACAAAGATATCTCATTTAGACTTGTAGTTAATTTGCAAACCCAAAAAAAATAGGTAAGTTGTCCCATGTCCTTTAATTCAAAGATTTAACCCAAAGCATTGATAACAGATTAAATCAAGATAGAATTTGATCCTGTACGTATTATATCATCTACATAGAGTGGTAATATAATAGCATCAGAACCAACTTGTTTCACAAACAAATTAGAGTCTGAAAGAAAAGCTTGAAACCCAATCACTGCTAGATAACTTGTAAACTTGGCGTCCCAAGCCCTTGGGGCTTGTTTAAGACCATAAAGGGACTTTACTGGCTTGCAGACGTGAAGGAAACTTAGAATCAACAAAACCAGGAGGTTTCTTGATATAAACTTCCTTATGTAACTCTCCATGTAAAAAAGCGTTTTTCACATCAAGTTGTCTAAGTGACCACTTGTGTGTTGTAGCCAAAGCCAAAGTCAGTCTCACAGTAGTATGCCTAACTATTGGACTAAAGGTTTCGGTATAATCTAACCCATTATCTTGAGTAAAACCTTGGGCCACTAATCTAGCTTTATGTCTAGAAATAGTGCCATCAAGATGTCTTTTAAATTTGTACACCCACTTACAACCAATAATGTTGTTATCAAATGGAGAAGGTACTAAAGTCCATATACCTTGTGTTTGAAGTGCATCAAACTTTTCTTGCATAGCCTCCTACCACTGAGGTATTTTGAGAAGTTATTTTAAAGGTTGAAGGTTCTACAAAATCAGTGATATCTGCAATGAATGTAAAACATCTCGAGAATGAAGCATCTTCATGAGAGATAAGAGACTTGACTTGAGGAAAAACAACAATCAGTGAAGAATAATCTCTTATAGTTATTGCACCAATTCTAAGTCTTGTTTAAACACCCCTGAGGAAGGACAGGCAAATCTGTGATATTGGACACTGAAGGAAGTATTAGAGGTAGCATGTCTTTTAACTATTAAGAAGAATGGACAGACAACATTGTGGGAAGAATAGAAGAAGTAGCAACAGAGCTGGGAGATTGAAGATGAGAATCTTGTGTAAGTGCATGTATAGTTTGTGAATCAAAATAAGTATCAACTGCTGAAGAAGATTGCAAAGTATTGAAGCTAAACTATGGATGCATAGTCACCCTAAGATTGATTATGGGTGTGTGTTGCATCTTGTCTCATGAAAAAAAATTATTAAACTGAATGATAACAGGTCTTGACATGGTACTGGAAGATTGAACAAGCTCTTGAGTTAATGATCTAACATTTGATTGAATAAGAGCAAATGGAAAGCAACTCTCATCATGAATGACATGTCGGGAGACTAACAACTTTCTTGTCATAATATTATAGCACATAGCACCCTTGTAACCAAGAGAGTACCCTAAAAATACACATTGAGTAGATATGGGTTGAAGCTTATGAGTATTATATGGCCTAAGATAAGGATAAATGGAAGAACCAAAGATCTTTAAAGAAGATATCTCTGGTTGTTTATTAAATAGCTTTTGAAATGGAGACATCATATCAAAGACTCTACTAGGCATTCGATTGATTAGGAACACTGAATGTGGAATTGAATGGTACCAAAACCTACGTGGCACATGACCAGCAGTTAATAAGGTAATACCAGTCTCCATTACATGTCTATGCTTCCTTTCCATAAGACCATTATGTTGTGGAGTGTAAGGTGAAATGTAATATACCCTTAGTAGCTAGATAATCCTAAAAACCATTGCTCAGAAATTTTCCACCACCATCAGATTGTAACACTTTAATTTTAGTATGAATTGAGTCTCAACATAAGCAGAAAACTTCACAAATGCACCAAAAACCTCTGATTTATTCATTAATGGAAAGAGCCATACAAATCTGGTAGCTTCATCTACAAATGATACATAATATCTGAAATCTTCAATAAACACAACTGGTAAAGGACCGCAGACATCACTATGGACTTTATGAAATGGAATTTTTACCTTGTCTAGCTTATTTGTAAAAGGTAATTTGCTCATTTTCCCACTAAAACAATGAGAACAAACTTGTGCACGATCATTAGAACTAACAGAAATATCAGAATTCCTAAGCATTTTATCTAAAACCTCATTTGATGGATGCCCCAACTTGTGATGCCATAGTGAAGACTTCACAGCCTTGCCTAAAAATCCAGAAAAAGAACACAATCTTTGATTTCGCACCGTTGGAAACACATGCACAAGAATCCTAAACAACTTATTGTTGTTACTCTTTCTGTGGTAAAATATCTTCCTTGTTGCCTTGTCCTACACATAGAACTCAGTATCATCATAAATAAACCATCTATGATTGTCCTTACACAACTATTTCACTGATAGTAAATTCACTGTAAGCATAGGAACCTGTAAAACATTGTGATGACATAATGTATTAGAGGAACTAGGTAACAATGTAGTGCCAACATGTTTGACAATCAAACCTTCCCCATTGCCAATAACAATTCATTTGTTTCCTTTGTATGGAACTATTGAATTCAAGATAAACCATGTAATGTGAGGCTCTCGTGTTAACTATCCATAAACCATCATTAGTTGCAGGTTGGACAGTTAAAGCAGTTATAGGAGATTGCATGATATGTGCTTGATTATCAGAAAAATAAGAGAGGACTGGCCTTGATTCATAGAAGCTAGAAAACCAGGAGAACATTGTTGAAAATTGAAAATTACACCTTGATATCTAGAATTGTCAAACATTTGTAGAGAAGATTGAGAACCAGGATATTGGAACTGATAAGAATAGTCTTGAAAATCATAATTAGCACTCAGAGTAAGAGGATGAGGTGTTTCTTGGTAGGCATAATTTCCCCAGTGTCTACAGTCAATAGCTATGTATTCTCGTTTACTACAGATTTGACATTCCTGAGAAACTTGAGTATTGTCATTGTGATACAAACAGGTGACAGTAGTTTGACCCTTTCGTAAACACATATGGCATTCTAGAACCATATTTGGCCTATTTGTAGTGTTACTAGACCAAGAACCTATTTCTATTGAACTTAGACTTGTAACCACCATTTCCTTTTGCTCTATAGCCATTGCCACGAAAGTTATTACCAGAGTGATGGCCATAATTGCTACCAGATGATGGATAACCATTATTACGAAAATACATGTTCCCTTGATTACCAAATTGATTTCCAGATCCAAGAAAGCCATTAGCATTATTATTAGGAGGAAATTATTGAAAAGATTGAGAACCAGTTAAACTAGATGCTGAATTAGAAGCTTCATGCGCAACAAAATCATTAGAAACACCTGATGCATTAGAAACATGTTGAAAATTAGAAGCACCAATAGAAAATGTTGGAAGTGGTCCATTGACATACATAGCAGACATGCTATCAACTAAAGATTGCATTCGATCTTCCAAACTCTTTTCTGCCCCCAAAAGTTGTGCCCTGAATTCTTTAAGAGAAATAGGTGTATCTCTAGCCAATATCACAGTACGAATCATATAAAACTCAGCTAGAAGACCAGTTAAGGCTGCAAAAACCAAGTCATTATCTGTAATCTTTTCACCAGCAGCAAGCAATTTATCTTTAATGGTCTTTAATCGCAACAAATACTAATCAACATTATCACTCCCTTTCTATATAATATGCAATTCAGCCTTCAGCTAATTGACATTTGTATTAGAGACAGAAATATAACGATCTTGCAAGGCATTCCAAGATTCATGAGAAGTCATACAACCCACAACATACTCCATAGCATCATTGCTTAGAGTTGCAATAAGAAGACTCAAGAGAGCCATATCGGTCTTAACCCATGTTTTATATGCAGAGGTAACTTCAGTAGTAACCCCCAATGTAGGAGAAAGAACATACTTTGGTGGACACACAGGTTCACCAATAAAGTGATCAAACATATCATAACCATGAAGAATAGAACAAAATTGGAAATTCCAATTGATAAAATTGTCATCATTCAACTTGATAGTCAACATATCTAACGAATTCTCAAGTTTTATAGAGCTAGACATGATGCAAAACAAACAATTCACAGAAAGGAGAATTATAACCCAGAAAAGTACCCAGATACAAATCTTGTCAGAAAACATTCCAAATCACAAACACTAACAATGTTGATGAATCATTGGTTATCGACCTTGAGTCATCAATTTATATGAGATTCTCGGTATCAGCCTTCAAGAAATCCCCAATTCATATTCAGAAATCAATCAATATCACACATTATCTTGGCATTGGCCTTTATCATAGATGAATGCAAACCAAAAAAAAAAAAATGTATAGACGCTGACAAGAATTCAAGATCCGAAGAACAAACCCTAAAAGTGTAGAAACAAGAAATCCCCAATTCATATTCAGAAATCAATCAATATCACACATCATCTTGGCATTGGCCTTTATCATAGATGAATGCAAACCACAAAAAAAAATATGTATAGACGCTAACAAGAATTCAAGATCTGAAGAACAAACCCTAAAATTGTAGAAACAAGAATCTGAAAATCGAAGATGATAGATCAAGAAAACTTCACTGAATGGAGTAGCGGAAAACCCATCCAAGAATCAACGAGCAAGCATAGTTTGCTCTCGATACCATTTAACTATCTTATATGAATTGCATAAACTATGAATGTAAGGAAGATGAATATCGAGAACAATCTTGTATTAGAAGAAATGACTTTGTTGTATTTCATAGAGAGATAATATTTTGTTTATAACAAACTAACCGACTACAAATGAAAGAGGGAAAGAGTATTTATACAAATTATTCCAAATATTACTTAATTTAAAGTTATTGATGACATGGCATTTGCCTATGTGGCACATGATATATATATATATATGTCTAATACTTTAGGATGATTAGGACTCTTCTTTTCAGCTGCATACGACAAGATAACATACATAGCAGCTGCCTTATCCTTTTTGTAGACTTCAACTTCAACTAGGACTCCTGCAACATTCCTCGTCTTCCAAGCCTTATTTTCAAATCATCCCTCTTCTTGCAACATTCCTTGTCTTCCCAGCCTTATTTTAAAATCGTCCTTGATTTAGACCTCTATTGTCCAGATTAGTGCACATATTTCACACTTTAATGAGCTCTAAAACGTCTAGCTCCAATGTTAATGCATGCCGTACCCAGCCATCCAAGTCCAATTTGTGTTTTTGCTCTTTTAACTTTCAATTTTCAACTTTGCTTAGTCAGATCTACAAACAAAAAATAAAAATAAAACGCTACGGTTAATGGAATCCAACAAAGTAAATATAGAGAAATAAGATAACAAAGTTCCATAAGTATGCTCCAAAAAATATTGTACATATACATATGGCATCACTAAGTACACTAACAAAGTTTTTGATGTAACCTAACGGAATGGGTGGAAATAATGAGTGGTTTTATAGATGAATGACCAAATTGATGAGTTTTAAATATAAAAAACCAAACTAATGACTTGGAAAAATATAAGAGATCGTTTGTGATAAAGCCTTTTTGTTTTTAAAAGACAAAATATACAAGCAATACGTTTGATTTTGTTCTTGAATAAAGGATATTATCTACACTAAAGGGGTGAGGAGTGGGCTAAACCTCTCAATGGGTTAGCATTAACGTGGTTCAAATTCGCCTTGGGCAATAATCCAACCCAAGACTTCTCACTTACAAGTAAAGAAGAATACCACTACACCGTAATGTTAAGTGGTAGCAATACGTTTGATTTAGAATAAAGGGCAATCGAGATATTATTGCATGATAAATGATCTTTATGTAATATGGCAATTGGTTTAACAAAAGAGTACTTGGTTGAACAAATATATATATATTTATATTAAAGGCGGAGAAATAAATTAGTATAGAAAATTTTATTTACAAGATTCGAACTAAAGATTTCTCAATTAAAGGTGAAAAAAAATACCATTAAAACGTAGTACAAAGTGACTAATTGAAATTAGTGTATGATGTGATAAAAGATAGCACTCAAATTAAATCCTCTTTTTGACAATTGTAGTATAGATATAAGTAGGGATCGTTCTAGGCCGGGGATTAGGAGGGATTGCTAATCTAATGAAAATTGACTCAAAGATGTAAAAATATGCTTTAAAACACTTTAAGCAACTCAAAAGACTCTTAACTAACTTGTATAACTCAAAACAACCAAAAAGACTCAATTTAGACTCTAGGACTCAATTTGGACGAAACTACAATTAGTTTTGACTCTAAAGACTCAAAAAGACTCTTTTGGACAGATTTGGAACAAGTAAGAAAAGGGGATTTGATTTTGGATGAATTTAAAAGAAAACAAGTAACTTAAAACTTTCAAACAGATTTTGGACGAATTTAAGAAAAACCAATGGATGATGGAATAGCGAAGGGATACTGCTCCACACATGATACATTCAAACATAAATTGATTTCCAGTTGCTTTTCTGATAAACCATGAACCTCAACACCCCAGATTAACCGTTACATCACTAATTAACCCTCAGATTTCCCTTAAGTTAGTGGATTGGATGACATCATATGACAACCCAAAACATTCTTCAAAAGTCCCCTACATGACATCATAATAGAGATACAATCAAAGATCATTACGTTCAATGGAAATCATAAGTATTGACAAAGCACTCGTAACTATGACATCATGATACTCATGCTAGGAATTTACTTAACATGATTGTGAAAACAACCTTAACTACTTGTGAATATAAGTTTGTGACGATTATGTGAAACACCCTTATATTCTAGCACCAAATTCAAGCATGCAAATTAAGTAGGCCTCCCTAATCAACATACAAGAATAAGTTATCCATCAAACGGTTAAGTAAATTGCATTCACAATTTATGAAATCACAACTGGAATTTATCAACTCATATTATAAACGTAATCATGGTTTCAAAGGCTTGATTAAATGGTGCGGCATAGGGCTGTTTATATAGGCTAATTAGGCACACTTAGTGAAGGAGAAGGATTGCACAATCCCATTGAAAAAGGGTTAATTCAAGGCAGAAACCAAAGGGGGAATGGACTAGGTAATGCACGGCTAGGATTTAGGGAATTCTAGAAGGTTAGCTGCAGCATCTTTGTAGGGATGAGATAAGGTTTCTAGAAGGAATGGTTTAGGGCAGATTCCTAAACCTAAAGGGCCAAGGACATATGGTATAAGTGTAGAAGGAGGATTGCAATTCCTAAACCTATATGGAATGGTGTTTATGCGGCAAGACAAATGGATAAGCTTCTAGAAATTGTTCTAAGTGTTTAAATATGCACCTAATCCCTTCTAATTAGCTAGATTTAAGGCACAACCTAATTTGGATAGGATAAGATAGGGTAATGTTAGAGTTAGGAAAGGATAAGGTTTGTTAGGATAGGATAAGATAAAGTTGGATAAGGTTCCTTGTTTCTTGCTTCTTCCTTATCTTCCTTGCATTTTGACTTCTTCCACCAGATTTGTAGCCTTTCCTAGCCCTTCTTGACTTCAATTTCGTCCATCCTCTTTACTCCATGGTTAAGCTATCCAATCCATGCCCAAAAATGCTCCATTTAGCTCCAAAATGCCCTTTCTTGCTCATTTTGCCATTAGGACCTAAAAACATACGAAAATAACTTAAAAGACTGAAATAAATAGTAATTAACTCCCTAAATGCAAGGAAACAACATAACTAAGTAGCATAAATATGCTTCTATCAGTGTAGTACTAAGAAGAATTCAATTAAAAGTCAATATTATTTTTTTTCCTTAAAAAAAAAGTCAATATTAGTTTTTGAGCGATTATTCGCTCAACCTTTCTACTAATAATATTTAGTACTGACACTCTCGTACAGTCAATCATTCAACCTATTTGGCCAATTTCAATAGCGATTCCACTTTCAGGACACTGATTAATAATAGACTCCAAGTTCTTTGGTTCTGGACGCCAACCGTGATCACTCAGATGAAACATTTGATATAAATACTGGATATATGTTTTCCCTGCTTATGGAAATTATGTAAATTATGTGAATTGTACAACAACCGTATTCCCTTTCGGAAGCCTTACAGGTAAGAATTTTATACTCAAAGGTGTCGAATAAAGAGAATAAAATGTTAATTTTTTAGGATAGGATTTCTACTATACATGGAAAGTTAACTGAATAGCCAGAGGACCAAAACGACAAACTAATACTCACCCCTCTATTTATACTGATAAGAGTTTCTGTATGTAGTTTCAATCTCAACACACAAAAAATTTCCAGAGAGGAGGAAGAAGGGTGGAATGCGGTAAGGGACTTCAAAAGATTTTGTTTAATGCTTTTAATTTTATTAGAAATTTTCTGTCTCACTGTAAGCTAGTCTTTTAGAATGCTTTGTGTTGATAAACTTTTACCTTTTAAATCCGTCAATACTTGTCTCAGATTGTTATATGTGAATATAACTTACGATTTTTTTTTTTTTTTTTTGGGTGTACACATAACTTATGATTTGTAATTTGGAAACACCATATGTTACATATGTGTGCATATTCATGAATATTGTAATGATCTTTGCTTTCTCCTTTTTGGTCTTAAATTTGCAATATTTATACGATATGTTGATTCTTGATGTGCGAATCTTTGATTACTTTTAGTGGAAAAAATTGTGTACAAGTAGTTAATTAGAAATTACCCTATTAGTGTTGAGGAGAGTAGTGAGAGAGTAATTTGGTGAGCTACTAATCAAAGTTTGGGATAGATTTTCAAAGCTTGGGATTAAAAATGAGTTGGCACGTAGCACTGAGAGGTTCATAATCTCATATATTGTGATACAAGAGCCCTTATTTTTTCCTGTTATAAGTGATAATAGGAAATGGGAGTCGAACGGAGGAACTTCGTCACATGAGCGAATTCTCTTAATCTTAAAATTGTTGATATGAGCAGTAAATTTAATTTATTTGATACAGTTACTAAAGGCTTCTTTTGAATGGTTAAAGTAGAGGAATTTTTAGTACGAACGTTGAGTCATCACGCAGTGTTAGTGATTCATGTTTTATAATATCGTTAAAAAGCCAGGATGCATATATTTTTGTATTATAACATATATAGATTGATAAGTTATCGTCTTATTAACATGATGTGCCAATAGAGGGGCATTACCAAAAATTTCTTTTTTTTTGGTAATTAAATTTCTTGTTAAATAGAATACATTAATGTAGTCAACAAATGTGGTATGATAATTGGATAACAGTTCTACATGTAATCAATAATGTAGTCAACAAATAGCATATTGGTTAGTATCAATTTTATCAAATATTAAATCATTTGTGTTTATGTGAGAAGAACACTAAAGAATTGTTAACACTAAAGAATCGTTTTCATAGATTGCATTGGAAAATTGAGATTATTTGAATATATAGGACACTAGAGAATCGTTTTGACTTGCATTTTAAGCAAAACCCTAATTAATGAGTTGGTCTCTTTCTCTATTGTAATGAAAAAAGATGAGTGAAAACACTGCCACAAGGAACCAGCTGCAGCTTCATCACAACCCAGTTTTTGATGTCTCACTCAATGTGCATGGAGGCTCCAAGTACATTGATGACGATGGCCGTCCCAAACGAACCGGTAAATTATATACTTTCTCTCCTTGAGACTGCTAAGCATGTTGAATTGTTAGTCATTTTTTTTTTCATGTGTGTTGGTTGTGGGACAAGGAACTGTTTGGACTGCAAGTTCACACATAATTACTGCTGTAATTGGGTCTGGAGTTCTGTCATTGGCTTGGGCCATAGCTCAGCTTGGATGGATTGCTGGTCCTTCTGCGATGGCCATCTTCTCCTTCATCACTTACTACACTTCAACTCTTCTGGCTTCTTGCTATCGTGATCCCGTCACTGGAAAGAGAAACTACAGTTACTCCGATGCCGTTCAATCCAACCTTGGTGAATTATGCCTCATACTTTGATCTTTTGGACACACAAACAAATGTTTTTTTTTTCCTTTCCTTTTTTCCAAAGGTCAATAGCTAATCTTTTTTCTGTTAATTTCAATTTCTCAGGTGAATTTCAGGTCAAAATGTGTGGATTTGTTCAGCAATTGAACCTTTTTGGAATTGCTATTGGCTATACTGTAGCAGCATCTATAAGCATGATGTAAGCCTTGAGTGTATAACTGAATTAAGAATTTCGTGATGCTTGAGCATACATTATGTAAGGTATTTTATAAATATCTTTTTGGCCTAATGGTTCTTTTTTTTTTTTTTTTTTTTTTTTTTGATTAAATAGGGCAATAAAGAGGTCTAATTGCTTCCACAATAGTGGTGGAAAAGATCCATGTCATATCAACTACAATCCCTATATGATAGCTTTCGGAACCTCAGAAATTATATTGTCTCAAATTCCAAACTTTGATAAGTTGTCCTGGCTCTCCGTTGTTGCTGCAGTCATGTCCTTCACTTACTCAGGAATTGGACTTGCCCTTGGAATTGCTAAAGTTGCTGGTAAAAATAGTTACATTTATTACTACTATTTTGAGTGGATAATTGTTATTCTGTGCTTGGATGACTAAAAAATATATGGTCACTCACAGTTAGATTTGATATCAAAAGTTGAGATTAATACATTATAGTGATCTTCATTCATTCTTTACCCTTAATATCAAAGTTGAGTTACCATAATTCCTAGGCCACTTGATAAAAGATGAAAAAAAATTCTAGGCGACCAGATGACAAGAGAATGATGCCTCAATTTGAACTTGGTTTTTAGGATTGAAAAGGTTCTGGTAAATTTAATTCAAGCTTTTTTCCCTTTTTTTTTTTTTTTTTTTTTTTTGTGTTAATACCAGAAAATGAAAAAATCAAAGGAAGTAGGACTGGAATAAGCCTTGGGATTGTGACTCCTGCCCAAAAGATGTGGAGGACCTTCCAAGCACTTGGTAACATAGCTTTTGCCTACTCTTACTCAATCATCCTCATTGAAATTCAGGTTTATATCTTCTTCAAATTAAATTTAACAATGCTATACTTTTCGTGGTGATTCGAGCACTTAATCCAACCATATAAAATGTTACAGGACACAGTTAAATCTCCACCATCTGAAACCAAGACAATGAAGAAGGCCACCCGACTTAGCTTGACAGTGACATCCATTTTCTACATTCTATGTGGCTGCATGGGCTACGCTGCTTTTGGAGACTTAGCCCCTGGAAACCTTCTCACTGGCAAAGGCTTCTCTAACCCATTTTGGCTTATCGACATAGCCAACGCCGCCATTGTGATCCACCTTGTTGGTGCATATCAAGTTTTTGCCCAACCCATTTTCGCATTGGTCGAAAAAACAGCTACAAAAAATTTCCCGAACAGCCAATTCGTCACAAAAGACGTCAAAATCCTGATCCCAGGCTTCAGTTACTACACCCTTAACCTATTCAGATTGGTTTGGAGGACAATTTTTGTTATTCTAACCACCGTGATCTCCATGATCCTTCCGTTCTTTAACAACATTGTTGGATTTCTCGGGGCCTTAGGGTTTTGGCCACTCACAGTTTACTTCCCTGTGGAGATGTATATTGCTCAAAAGAAGATACCAATGTGGAGCACAAGATGGATGTGCCTCCAAACTCTAAGTCTCTGTGTCCTTATAATTGCCCTATCTGCTGCAGCTGGCTCAGTTACTGGTGTGATTGACAGTCTCAAGGTATACAGGCCATTCAAGACTAGCAATTAATTTATCAAAGTTTTTATTTGTACTGTTTTTACCAGTATTTTCCAATTCAGATCACAAGACCCTTAGAAAAGTGGAAATACCATAGTAATTCTGAATTTGAATTAAGACAATTGACGTGCAATTTATCTTTAGGAATCTAAAGTACTCAATGTTTTGGTCTTGCACTCTTACTATGAAAGTCTTAATATTTAACTACATATTTTCAATTTCTGTTTTGACATATTCCTTTTTGGAAGTTGTACAATCATTCATACTGAAAGGAAGCACAGTAGATCCGTAATAATTTAAAGGGTTCTTTAGATATAGACCCTTGAAACTCCTATTTTCCAAATAAAAACCCGTCTAAATTTAAACATTCAAATAAAACCCAAATTTCAAATAACCTACCATGTAGACAAATATATGACCAACTATTACAATACAATTACAACTTATGCCATAGAATCCTAATTTGGTCAATAAATGTTATTACTCATCCTAATTATGATGAGCAATTAAATCCATATGGATATTTTACCTTTCTTGTATCATAAATATTAGCAACATATATAAATTAATTTACCAAATTTAAAAGAGAAAGACAATCTTGTACGGAAAAAATAATATTGTTTGAATTATGTAATTACCTACATACAAATTAATTTACCTACTTATAAAATATTATACTAATAAACCTGCATTTTGAATCATGTAATTACCTACATACAAATATTATACTAATTTACCAACATTTAAATTAATTTACCTACTTATAAAATATTATACTAATTTACCTACTTATTAATATTATACTAATTTACCTACTTGTTAATATTATACTAATTTACCTACATTTAAATTAATTTACCTATTCCAAAAAAAAAAAAAAAAATTAGTGATATTAGATAATGTTCGAATGTTGTGGGTTTGTGCTTGTAGGCAATTAAATAAACTTTTAATCTAATGCACATAAATCATGTAGGTAAATTAGACCATTTTGAAAGTAAACTAGACCCTTTAAATTTTGGTTTGATGTAATAGGTAAATTAGACTATTTTGTAGGTAAGAATTGTGTGGAACATATAGCTTTTGTTTTGTGTATTAGGGATTGGAATATTAGCCGAAGCTGTTTTAGGTTTATTGTTGTGTTGGTAGGTAAATTAACTTATATATGTAAAGCACAAAATTATGAAATTAGTATTATTATCTTTCAATTGGCACGTTATAACAATTTGAAAGTTAATACATTGAATATACAATGAATGGCATGAATTATTTTGTAAAATATATAAAATTAATTAAATGGATATAACAAGTAACTGATCCAAAAACCCCATCCAAGTATTAATAGGGGTAGTTTAGGCATTCGAAAAATACACAATTTGAAAAGTCAAACTTAATTAAAGAATTTGTTTAATTGGAGGCTAGTCAATGGGCTTTATTCAAGAAAACAAAAGGAGATGGATTTTAGTAGAGGAAAATATAGTTTCAAGGGGTAATATCAAATTTTCAGTAATTTAAATACTTAATAAACTAATAATCCTAGATATGTTGTAACTATGGATGTCCATTATTTGGTTTAACTGGATGACATAATATCTATGCAAGCAATGATATCATGCCTGTGTAAGCAATGATGTCATGCATGTGTAAGTAATGTTGTCATTTACTTATTCATTTGCCTATATAATGAAGGCCAAGGCCACTAACAACAAAAGAAGAAAATGAGGAAGAGAAGAAGAAAGAAGAGAGAGAGAAGAGAAAAGAAAGAAAGAAGAGAAATGTATCAATAAGCGATAAGGCTAGGGAGAAGAGAGAAAATAGTGAAGTTATCATTATACTCCTATTATTCCAGATAATGAAAGAAAGTATTATTGCTATCCTGAAGATGTAGGCGCACTTTCCGAACCTCGTAAATATTTTGTCTTACTTACTTTATTCCATTACACACATATCTCCAATTTCACAACACGTTATCAACACGAGAAACTCATGTGTCAGTGGAAAGCACAACGCCGTAAATCTGATGAAGCACTACCTACCTCCCACTTCTGCTGCTGGAATCTCATAGATAAGAAAATCTTCTCATTTTATCCTTATATCTCTATATGACTAATTTTCTTAAAGCGAATCTATATCTTGTTATATGATTGCTTTTCATTCTTTGTAGAAGCAAAATGGGTACATACTTTAAATTTGCAAAAAAAAAAAAAAAAAAAAAAAAAAAAAACCAATAGTCATGTTACAAGCTTTGAAACTCTGACTTACTATGCTCAAACATAAAGTTTTCCTTCATATAAGTTATTCCTTATCCACTCTTCCATAATATATCAAAATTCTAAAAAGATCCAATGGCTAATTCATTAAAGATATTAGAAATACAACTATAAACCCGAAATTCGCAGAAAAACTGGCAGCCATGGTAATGGCTTTTAAACTTCAACTTTCTTACCTCGGATGCAAACACTTTCTTCATTGAAGTTGTTCATTACCTTCTTATCCATGCCATACTAAATTTGGGTCAGATCTAACGGTTAGATCTTCCTATAATTTTCAGACACTACCGTTGATACATGGCCACGGTTAAAAAGAAAAAGGAAAGTATAGTAAGTTAATATTTACTTTTTTTCTTGTTATTATTAATTCTGTTATTATTGTGATTGGTGTTTTATAATCATCCATCATATATAATATATTATAATATATATGTGACGGATTGATCCCTTCACCCTTCATATATATATATATGTGTGTGTGTGTGTGTGTGTGTGCGCGCGCGCCAATGGCGCGACACTGTCGCCCTTCTTATAATAACAATTGCCATCATCAAGTTCTGATATTTATGTGAATGATGAGTGTGTATGTGTATATATATATATAGTAGTTGGAAATACTGCCATCTGCTTTAATTTACATATTGTACTACATTTTATTATGATGAGTATATACCAAGACCCGAAGTTCCTTAATCCTCATCATATAAAAAATTCGGACCCAAAATTCCTTGATTTTCATCATATAAAAAGATCAGACCCAAAATTTCTTGATCCTCATTATATAAAAAGATCGGACTCAAAGTTCATTAATCAAAATTAAAACTTGAAGCTTTTGAATCAGCTGAGAGAATAGTGTTTCCTCAACTAAATTAACATGACGTGCATTAAGCGGCTCAGTCCACATACTAACAAATGAGGGCCAGAAGCTCCTTGATTCATGTAAATGAGGACCATAAGTTCCTTAATCCATGTACAAATTAGTATAGGCATGAATTCCAAAAATATGAACCTAAGGGTTCTAATAGTGTTGATCTCAAGAAAAAATTTCGAGTACATATGCATAAGGACTTGACCTGAAGTTCAAAATATGAATAATGTTAAGAACTTGAAGTTTTAACATTTTGTGTGGACATGGGTTATATATGGTATGAATTAATTATCACAAATTCCATCATACTTGAATTCCTTCCTTTTGGGAATAAGAAAATGGTGAACTTAGCAAAACTCGATTTTGTTACCATCGACATCTTATAAAGAGATACTTTCATGAACTCATAATGTCCGAGAATTCATGTGGAAGCATATAATATTAGAAAACATCTTTGCTTAAAAGCTCATTGAATCATATTCATGGAACCAGAAGTTTCCATCATTGCTTAATTGATTCATATTAATGGAACCAAAAGTTTCCATAGTTTCCTATATCTAACAAACTGAACCAGAAATTTCAAACATATATAAGACCAGAAGAGAGGGAACTTTTCTATATATACGCATGCATACACATAAATTACAACTACAACAATAAAAAGAGGAAAAAAAAAAAGAGCTTTCGAAAAGGCTGCTCATATGAAGCCTTAGTACTTGACAAAACCCTAGAAGGCGAAGGCACCAAAGATTGATCATTTGAAGGCTCAGTGCTTGGCGGGAACCCTAGAAGGTAGAGGCAACAGATGCCTTCGGAATAAAGTCAAGAACCTCTGGTGGTCACTTTGTCTGACTTGCAGATTCCTGCACTAGTTGAGCTTTCTCTTCATGTTCGTCAATAATTATTTGCAAGTATGTGCAACTCTTTGTTCTCATGCTTGAGCCCTCTAATTTCTTGCCTAAGACTTGCCACCTCAGCCATTAATGGTTCAAGTTAGCGAGTTCGAGCAAGTAGACATTGGCCTATGTTGGATATAGAACTCGCACACTGAACACTGAAAGCCAAAGAGTCTTGAACAACCGATTCATCAGAATTTTTTGAAAGCATTCTTTTATATTTGGGAGTGAGAAGGCTCCTAGCTATTACTGTGGCATTTATATCATTTTTCATCACATAGTCTCCAATCATAAGAGGACCATTAGAGGATAAGAAGAATGGGCACCATATATTATCCTAAATAGGCATGTTTGCATCTTCCACAACATTCAAATCAAAACAATAGTCAAATGGGCAAGCCATTTTTAGAAATGATGAAAGAAAACGAAATCAAATAAATGCAACAGGGAAAATTTCCACAGGCGGGCAACTTTCCGAGTGCGCTTTTTTGATACAATTGATGCCTCTATAAAAGGAAAGGCAACATGACCACTCGTTCAAAAGTCGAAGAGACACCACTCTCCAACTTTCAAAAGCCCAATTTTTCTAAATAAAGTTTGTAGGCACTTCTCAGACATAATCTTCGCTTTTAGATATCAAGGTCTGTCAAATTACCTCTGACAAAGTTAAAACGTGGGAATTTCATTGTTCTAATTGCACAAGTGTTGCCAACAAGCATAGATCGCAAGGTCCCAACAACACCACTACCTACTATTTAGAAATCCCTATGTATGTCGACCTTCGTCTTCCATGGTAAGGCAGGCCTCTGAAAAACTCTTCTTCCTTGCCGAGAATACATCTTCAACTAAGCATCTCAATATACTTAGCTTTCCTCCTATCTGAGAATACCTCTTCAACCAAGTCCTTCAAAATGCCCAATCATATATTTGATCAAGATGTTTTACATCAACATCAAATTCTTTTACTGTTTTTTTTTTTCTTCAAAAGAAAAAGTATCTTGTATCATCAGAGTCGAGAGCAAAAGTAACACATATCATGCTC